TCGGGTCAGATACTTGACAAGTCCGGGGTATTCAGTGAAGAGGTACTCCCCCCACAGACCACCGGACAGCCTTGCAAACTTTGCAACGGCACCCAGAGAGACCTCCGAGGGGTACCCCCGGAGGCGAGTTTCCATGATCAACGCAGCTATTGCTGCTTTCAGTCCTTCATCAGAATTCGACATTCGCTGCAATCTGACTAGGTTTGCGTAGATCGTAGCCTTCTTGGTGGATTTTTTTGAGAACGAGGCATAATCTTGCATCGACTGTATCCTCAGCCCCAGTCCTTGCAGGAGGAACGCTTGATTCCGAGTCTTGGGAAAGATCAGAATCTCAATCGGATCACACGAAACAAATATCCTGGTTCCCACAAAATCGATCACGTTCTTCCCCTCATCCTTTCGTATCAACATCAAACTCCTATCGTAACACGACCCAAAGTCTTCCTTCACCTTGAGTGCAGTCTGGTAGGAATCATCGTCATGCAAACGGTACGCCACCACAATTATCACGTCATCAATCAACCGTACCCCCCTAATCAGCGTGTGTCTGGTTCCCAACGACCTCAGGAATGTGAATTCGGCTTTAGCACACACCAGGCAAGCCAGGGCAGGACTGGAGTTCCTCCCCATGGGGATACCAAACTCTTGCTTCAGGATGCACCCCGCACACTTCACGTAAGTATTCTCTAGTTCAAATAGGATGATCGATCTTATTTCTTCAAATGTGAGATTGATGAATCCATCTCTCTTGCACTCCCTCCTCATCATCGAGCATATCTTCCCCCGAAAGCCTACCCTCACCCCTTTGAATCCCCTCTCTGCACTCATTCTCGAGATCCATTCCACTGCTTCTACCACGCTTCTGTGCGACAATCTGGAAAACATATCTTTGATATCATAGCTTGCTACTAATGCTGCATCGACCGTACTCCCAAGCTCCTTCTCAATCGCTGTCATCCTCTCCCTTAATTCATCCGTCGCCTTCAGATCGAAGTGAACACTCTGCTTCAGTCCGAAGAGCATGTACCTGATGGCTCTCCTGGCTCTTGCTCCCGCTAGTCTCGCTGGATCGTCGGTTGCTGGTGAGATCGGCCTCCACCGCTCCAAGTCCTTGTCCTTTGGGATTACGTACGCTTGTCCGATCTTTCCCCCGGTCTGCCACCTCGCTACCCTGCACAGCCCTCTCCAATCAAACTCCCGTCTCATCTTCCTCAAAATCGTGTCCTCATCTTGTCTCACCGGTGCGAAGTTGGGATTCAAGTTGAAAGTGTTCTTGCATGCCTCATGATACATCTGCGGACACACCAAAAGAGTCGCTCCCAGGTTCCTATCGATGGGGACCGCGACCAGCTCCTGATAAGCTCTCATGGCATGCTTAACTTCCCTCACAGCTAAGGCTGGGTATGATTCACCTCCCCTCACCTGGTAGCACCTACTCAGCTCCATTCGATCTATCCTCACTTCCCTGCTTCTGGTCCACGCTCCCACTCCGTCCCGAATGATCTGCTCCAGCCTTTCTGGTTGTACTACGACCCCGGCAGTCACGTTCCTTGAATTCCTCAAAAACATTGGCATATCTGGTACTTGGTCGATCCAAACCTTGATGTGTCCGTTGATCCTTGGTAACTCCAGAGTCTAACAACGACAAAGGGCTCGTTCCAACTCTGCAAATGTCCAGTGATTGTGTATGACTCCACCCACCGTCTTCCTTCTTCTCGTAACGGTCCTTACTTTAGCTGCTACAAACCTGCTTAGTACCGGATCTTGTATTGCTTTCCCAATGACTCCTGCTGCAATCTTCCTCACTTCTCCCAGCCGGATCAATGGTGAAAACGGTACTTTAACGTACGGTCTCCTCCTTATCTCTACACCGTACTTCGATCTTACCACCTTCGTGATTGAGATCTTCAGCTGGTTCCTTACCTTCTTGTCGGCGAAGAGAGAGCACGTCCTATAAAGGGAAATCAGCTCACGCGAGTTCTTCCGATAAATCCCCCGGATTTTCCCTGGATTCCTCCGTAGCTCTCTCGGCACGTTTCTCCGGTGTTCCACACTTGCTGGTACTATCCGGATATCCACGACCAAAAATATCCCTCCATTTTCCAAATACTTTCGGCAATCTTTAATCGGAACTACCTCCCCCTCAATTACCAGCGTAGTCCATCCTATCTTCCCTCTTACCACACTCCATCTATCTATCCATACGCTCCCTCCCGTGGTCCTGATCAGGTGATCACCCGCTTTCTTCCTCATCTCTTTCACTACCTCCACAAGAGACTCCCGACCTTGAAGCGAAGAACCGACTCGGCAACTTTCTCATACCTCCTCTTTCCCCTCTCTCTCCTTCCTCTCCTCCTCCTTTTCCTTCCGCCTTCTCTTCCGGTGCCTTGTGTATTCAACGCGGGTGAGAATCTCGATATAAGCGTTCTCTCTACCGCCAGCGAATCATTGTTTTTTTTCAACAAAGGTAAGGCTAGGTAGTTATACCAACCAAACACTCTGAGCCATGCGTGAAGTCTAGGCGCGTTCCCCACGGTTCCACTCCTGGATTTCTTTATGTGATCGGCCCAGTGGATGATGATCTTCCTGGACGTACATCCTATGTACGAATGCCTACACCACGGGCTTACCAGTACGTACACCCCCGGATCCTCGGTAGATAAATCGCATTCCTCTGTCGATGTAATCCTCACCCACTTCCTTGCCCATGAGCACCCACCCCGAATCACATATAGTAAAAACAGCCTAAATATACGATCTTCAACACGAGTGGTTAGACTAGCTCTACCCCTGTCAATTTGTTCCCCCCTCTCTCTCATACTCTTTCGCAAATCAGTCAGGATCTCCATGTTGGAGACGAACTCAGATCGATCCGGTCTATTTTTCAAACCAAGGAGATATCTTACCGCTTTCCACGAACTCTTCGTAGGCGAGCTTCGCCTTACATCTCACCAACTCACCAATGGCGTTGTCTTTCCTGGACCACTCGATGCCTTCCTTGTTACATAGCTTCCTCTGTTCGGGCACCTTTTTCTCGGACAGTCTCCAGTGCATCTCGATGGCGAAATCAAGCATCTCGGTTCCTCCAGTACCGTCTCCCTGTCCTTTCTTGATAGGTGGTGGAGTCCTCACTTCGTCATCATCTTCAATTCCCACCGGATAACCTTTCAATCCATTCTTCGATACCCGACCATCCTCATTCCCCAACTTCTTGCCCTTCCTCTTCTCAATTGCTTCAATCAACTTCCCGGCTTCCTCTCTCACCTCCTCACTATCATCATCAGATTCCACCAGGTAACTTCTAATCTCCCGTAGCATCCTCGCTTTCGTTTTGGGAGATTTCTTCTTCCCGGCCACCTCCTCGACTTTCTGATTAGAACGAGTGTGCTGGTTTAACAGCCGAACCATTCGTGCTTCTAATCTTGCTTCCCTGGCTTCAGCTTCCTTTATCCTTTCGATTTCTCTCCTATTTTCTTCATATCTCCTCTTCCTTTCCTCCTCTTCCCTCATTCTTCTCTCCTCATTGATCTTCCTCTTTTTAATCTTCTCATGGAAATACTCTTTCATCTCCTTGGTTTCTTCATCGCCCTGCCCTCCTGACTGGTAAGGTGTTCTCCCGTTCCCCGCCGACCAGCAGTTACGAGCATAGTGGCCCGCTTTCCCACAAATGTGGCATGTAACCACTCCTTGCCGATACCCGTTCTGCGGTCCCATCCTATACCCTTGGATGGGAGGGGTACCTTGACTCTGGAAATTCGCCATTCTATCTATTTCTCCTTAATCTTCTCCTACTCCTCCTTCTCTGATCCCTCACTACACAACACAAACTATATAATCTCCCGAGACACCTCTCAAGATGATCAAACAGCTCGGCTCTAGACGTTTCGTCGTTAAATTGCAATGTGACAAAGATGCACGGTACCACGTTATCTAAAACTACTTTCTCCAGATCCACACACAGCCTATATACCTCTTCAACTCTAAAGTTCCGATCCGTCATTCTCAATCCTCCGTGGTACAGTTCCAAGTTCGCAGCTTACCTAGCCTACTCTCCCCTTCCCCTCGACATCTCGTCCGCCAAGGATGACCAATCACGTGTCCTCCTCCGTTACGTGATACCTGCAGGAGATGATCACACTCCTAACCTCTCGTTTCGATACGTCCTTTGCACATTATCTGTCTTCTTCCGTTGCAGCCGACTCACGGTACACAGATTACGCTCCGTCCAGGTCTCAGTCCGTTTCGCCTCTCGCCACTACCGACCTTGATGATGAAGCGCAAATTTTTTTTCGAAGATGATCACACTTCAGGTCCAGAACTCTCCCTCGTGGATAACCATATTTGGCGGCGATGATGCTCCCGTTGGTCCCGATTCCACAAACCACTTGGGGACGTTCACGCCCCAAAGGAACCGAATCACTTCCAATGCTGCCTTCGTCTGGTGACGAACCGCCCGGTAAGCCACCGCTCTTCCATGGTGTTTTCCGAGGAAACGCAGCACGGACGATGAATAACAACAGCAGGAGTGACTCAGGGACCAAGCCGACCAATCCTTTCGATGATCGCTCCTCCCGCTGAAGACCTTCCCGATGGAAACAACTCCCACATCGACAACGCCTCCCGTCGGAGAAGCCTCACATTGGAGAAGAAGAAACCTTCACGTCGGAGAAGAAACCTTCACGTCAGAGAAGAAACCTTCACGTCGGAGAAGAAGAAGAAACCTTCACGTACTCGTAGCCACCGCTGTATGCAAGCAGAACGGTTACCACGCTGATCAAGATTAAAGAAGGTACACATGACCCTCACGGGCCATTACTTCGGCACATCCGAAAAAACGTCAAAGATTTCCAAGCACAATACAGTACGCGTGCCCCRACGCGTTTCGCTGCTTGCGCAYCYAGCAGCTCATCAGGGGGCTTTTGTGTCYGAGATGTCGAGTCCCACCCACCCTTCCTATTTATCCCCGCCAACTCAAACCGTACCACATGCAGATCTCCTACCTCTCTCCTATCTGCTGATCCTACTTCCTCTTGTCCTACTTTCTCCCTCCCTCCCTTCTAACTATGGTACATGCATCTGGATGCTTTCCTATTCATCATTCCGGTGTTCCCTTCCCTTCCCTTGGTGAGGTYGTAGTTCTCTCTTTTCCTTTCCTCGAATAGCGTACTTACCTCCTTTCCGTCTGTCCCCCGCCATCTCACCGCTTCCTATCTCGGAGTTTCCTTCTCGCCTCTGCATCTCTCCCTCCCGTCAACAACTCTTCCACCTGGTCCGCTACCCCACTGTCACCTTCTAAAGATATCCCACTTCATCCGTCGTCCGTACCGGAAAAAGGCTCAGTCCAAAACTTAGCAAAAACTTTACTGCTTCAACTGCCCTCCTCCGAACCCGAATACTTGTCGGGCGGATCTTGGTCTTATCGGTGATCTGATTCTGTCCGAAGACCGGTTTCTGCACAAACTCTTCCTTTTCCCACTACCCCTGGTCCAAAAAATACGAAAAATTCAAGCGAAAAAACCAAGCGAAAAAAACATGAAAAAAACATGAAAAATCCGATCAAAGTACCACGACGTTCTTACCGTATTCTATATCCAAAATCCTATTCTTTTCTCGTTACCCCTTTACACCTCCATTCGGGTCAGATACTTGACAAGTCCGGGGTATTCAGTGAAGAGGTACTCCCCCCACAGACCACCGGACAGCCTTGCAAACTTTGCAACGGCACCCACAGAGAGAGAGAGAGAGAGAGAGAGAGAGAGAGAGAGAGAGAGAGAAGCCGCAGGCGAGAGACGCCACAGTCGCCATCCAGTTGAGATCAGTGCTGAGTGTGTGTGTGTGCGTGCGCCGTGCGGCGGAGAGGCTGGAGACAAACATTTCTTGCATAATAATGATATTTTTGGAGACGACTTCGTCATGTGTTGATTGGATCTCACCTGTGGCTTTTCACGTGCACATGTGAACTCTCGTGTGAATGTTCATTGATGTTGGCGAGGTAAAACTTTATGAGTACATGGTTCATTTCGAAAGTGCTGCAAGGCCCGAAATGACCTTTGGCATCATTTTTACACCCTGTAAAACACTTTCCCGCCATTTTGCATTACTCAGGACAATTATGTCCATGGGGCACTTCACATCTTACTGCTGTGCGCCGCGTCCACACAAAAGACTTTAGAATCGTGTCAGATGAGAAAAGAGCTCACGTGGTACGCCTATGAGCCGTCCAATTACAACCCTGAATTCGGGTCCAGACGGAGAACAAATGGAAAACTTCAAAGAAAGGGGGAAGTACGTTGAATCGGCAAAAAAAAACCCGCCTCGGCAAAGAAAACCGCGCCGAGTTGAAAAGGCAACGAAAACCAACGGCCGTGGTGTCAGACCGGGTGTCATATTCACAGGGTTCGGCTGTGGTGTCAGAGGGGAAAACAAAAAGAAAAGAAAATGCCCAACGGTTACTTTTGGACAGTGATCGCTCATTTCGAGTTGGCTTTTCACATGTGCTTTCTTTGCCTACTCGTGTTTTTTGTGCCTTCAGAGCTTGAAAACATGCCGCGTCCGCCGTTTTGTCCATCAGGGACTTCACCTTTATTTGCGCCGTGGACACCGCTTCCAAACAAACTAGGTCAGCAACGTACCTGTACTTCTGTGCGGGCGGTCAATGACACGGACGTCAAAAATAAGTGAAGCTCCTGATGCAACAAGTGGCAGTGTGGCACCCACCTCCTTTTGCTCTGTGCTCACTCTACAGTTCCGTTCTGCCACGCAGGAGCCACTTCCAGATGCAAAAATCTTTTATTTTTATTTTTCTCTTTTTTTCCTGTTTTGCAAAATCCAATCTGAGCCAAGATCAGGGACACATTTCAGGTCTCCAAGACGGCCACTGTGATGCAAAGATAACTAGATAACTTAAAGGTAGTCGTCAATGGTCCCCACCAACACGAACATTGATGATGACAGTCAATTTGCGCCCAATGCCCATTTCAGTTTTGAGCTGTTTCCATTCCAACGTCAGCAATCCAACTTTTCCTCGTCACGGTCTCATTAGCTGAAGACCCGCGAAATGTACGTACCTTAGTGCCCTTGAGGTTAGGTAGACCTTAACGCTACTGTCGTATGGAAGAAAGAAAAGAACCGAGCCTCTCTGGGCCACTTGTCGACCTCTTGTCTCCCGG